GAAGGGGGGTCCACAATATAATATTATATTATTGCCAAGAGGAAATTGAATATTCTAAGAAGGACCGGGAAGATGATCATTCGGACCCACTTGGATTCAAACCTCTACCTCTCCCATGATCATTCGTTCATCTTGGCATGTCACTGCTCTATGACGGCCTTCTACAAAACTAATGTTCTTGTTGCTTTTGTTGTTGTTATTGCTTTTCTTGTTGTTGTTGTTGCTGTTGGAGGTGGTGGATGTTTTGCTATTGTTTTTTTGTGGTGATGGTGGTGGTTTTGTTGCTGTTGCTGTTGTTGTTGTTGTTGTTGTTGTTGTTGTTTTTGTTTTTGTTGTTGTTGTTGTTGTTGTTTGTGGTGGTGTTGTTGTTGTTAAGAGATTAAGTAAGCAAATGTCGTTAACAGCTGTTCGCAGAACTGCTTGGTAACTAAACATGAATACGAGGTTCACAACAACAAAACTGCGAACACAAAATTAGAGGTGGGAGTCGACTATCTCGAGCAAAGATCTCGACTTCTATTTCAGATAGATTCTTGATGGGTATTTTTATTTATCGAAAGCAAGACAAATGAGCAAGCTTTAAGATGATACCAATAAACTTCAAATGCCCAAATACTGACGAGCACCTGATCCCACCTCGTCGTGAGACAAATCTATATCCCCAACAACATAATATTGATCGCGTTAACAGACAACCCAGGTACAACAGCAGGGAAATAATAATACGTTGGTTGCTCTAAGCTGTGAACAACATGTAAGGCGAAATAACTATCAAGTAAAATGACAATTGTTTTGTTTTTTTAATAAGTAGGCATAAACAACCAAAAAGCTCAGGGTCTCTGCGTTTGGTGTTTTGAACCATAACCTTCTCTTGCGGTCCCAGGAGATTCGACGCAGTAGATTCTAGATAATATTGTAAGGTTGGTGTCTGGGCCTGTTGTCGTGTTGTTGTTTTCCTAGTCCGGGTGGTTAGCCCGGATTTAATTAATTACGTAATGATATAATACCCAGAGACCGGCAATGACGTAGTGAGTGACACAATGGCGTAAACAAGTCTCTGGGGCTTAC